TTTACTCAATTTAGCTCCAAATTGAATCTAGATACACAAGGGCCTGGCACATAGTCAGAACCTGATAAACATAAATTAATGAGTGACATTGAAAAGCTTCCAAGAGAGACGTGATTCAAGGAAACATGAGCTTACTTATTACTTACTCCATGTCCAGAGCACCATTGTGCACAAGTCTTTGCACTTTCCTTAATCATTCTTGATTCCACGCATACACGGTTTACAGGAATCTAAAAAAAACACATACAAAGAGATTTCTAATTCTGAGGGAGGGGCCCAGCCATCATAGCATTAAAATTAATTACATAACCAAATCTGAGGTCTTTATGACCAGGTGAGAGGTTGGTGAGCAGGTAAACAGGAGGATTTGCTTAAGCAATTCCAGGGAGAGGGCCTGGGGGAGCCCACCAGCCCAAGCCTGGTAGGGACCCATCGCCAGGAGCGCCTAGCAGAGATGTCCATACTTGCCAAAATGGGGGACTGGCAGGACCGTCACGAGGGCACCAGCAAAGGGATGGCGCGGTTGCCCCAGCTGGACACTGTAGGTCAATCTCCCTACTTGAGCGCCCCGCCGCTGTCCTACACCCCCAATGCCGACTTCCAGCCCCCTTACTCTCTCTGCCCTACCAGTCTATCTACCCCCAGTCGCAAGATCCTTACTCCCATGTCAAGGACCCCTACAGCCTGAACCCCCTGCACGCCCAGCCGCAGCCACAGCACACGGGGTGACCGGCCAGAGGCAGAGCCAGGAGTCTGGGCTCCTGCACACTTACCGGGGACTGCCCCACCAGCTGTCCGCCTGGATCTTCGCAGGGACTACCTGCGGCACAAGGACCGCCTACTCGACCCGCACTGACTGGGCTCGGGACTCGGAGACCTCCCGATCCACTGCTTACCTCACGCCATGGAGGACGTCCCGCATGTAGAAGACCCGGGTATTAACATCCCAGATCAAACTGTAATTAAGAAAGGCCCTGTGTCCCTGTCCAAGTCCAACAGCAAGGCCGTCTCCGCCATCCCCATTAGAAGGACAACCTCTTTGGTGGCGTGGTGAACCCCAACGAAGTTTTCTGTTCAGTTCCGGGTCAACTCTCACTCCTCAGCTCCACCTAGAAGTACAAGGTCACAGACCTGGAAGTACAAGGTCACAGACCTGGAAGTACAAGGTCACAGTGGGGGAAGTGCAGCGGTGCCTCTCACCGCCGAAAGTCTTAAAGGCGTCGCTGCTGGGCGGAGTGCTCAGGAGGGCGAAGTCTAAAAATGGAGGAAGATCTTTAAGAGAAAAACTGGACAAAATAGGATTAAATCTTCCATCAGGGAGACGCAAAGCTGCCAACTTTACCCTGCTCACATCACTATGGAGGGAGAAGCCGTCCACCTAGCCAGGGACTTGGGGTATGTGTGCGAAACCGAATTTCCTGCCAAAGCAGTAGCTGAATTCCTCAACCTCCAACATTCGGATCCCAAGGAGCAAGTGACAAGAAAAACCATGCTCCTGGCTACAAAACAGATATGCAAAGAGTTCACCGACCTGCTGGCTCAGGACCCATCTCCCCTGGGGAACTCGCGGCCCAACCCCATCCTGGAGCCCGGCATCCAGAGCTGCTGGACCCACTTCAACCTCATCTCCCAGGGCTTCGCAGCCCGGCGGTGTGCGCCGCTGTCACCGCGCTGCAGAACTATCTCACCGAGGCCCTCAAAGCCTGCAACAACCCCAACAGCCACACGGACGACAGCGCCCAAAGCAGTGACAAAGAGGAGAAGCACAGAAAGTGAGGCTCTCCTCCCGCCTCGGCCCCGCCCGTCCTTCGCCTGCCTCACCAGCCCCCGCGCGCCCACCCACTCGGCCCCTCCCCACCGGCAGGTGACAGCTCCCGACCAGCGACCCTCGCTGCTGCTGCTGCTGCTGCTGCCGCCGCCGCCGCCATCCGGTGCCCCGGGTCCTGGGGACTGCTCGCTCCACTGCCAGTGGGCAGGCTGGTCGACTCAGCCGGGTGCCTCGACTTCCCCATCGGACCACGCCCCGGCCCTCAGGTGGAGCCTAAGAGAACAGAACAGGCCGTGGAGCCCGCAAAGAAAACTTCTGTCGAGTTATGAACTTTTTTTTTTTTAACAACAACAGTAAATCAACAACAACTTAAAAAAAAAAAAAAACATTTAAAAACCTTTTCTTTTCTAAAAAAAAAGAACATAAAAAAGTTTAAAAAAATTATATTGAGCTTCATGGGACTGAATCACCGCCTTCCCTTACACTCTTCAGTTCAGATTGTAGCCATATTTAAAAAAAAAAGGCAAAGATGATAATGACATTTTTATCAGTATTGTGAATAAACTTGAACACAAATACACGAAGTTCCATGTCATGTCTTCAGTTGTAGAAGTTTTCCCTCTTCAAGGTAAAGCGACCAACTTGAACTTTCTCCAGCAACACGATTCACACTTATATAAGGGAATCAGTGTTCATGTCTCTGTATATATTTATTTATGTGTAATTTAATGGGATTTGTAAATATGGTAAGTCTGTTTTTTCGCCCTTTTTTTTTCTTATTTATCTGGTGATCTCCTTTATCTCTTGTTTAGTGGGTTTTGAATCTTCCCTATTAGTTCCTCATGTGGTTCATGGTACTTATTTAGAAATACAAGGTTTGGGGGATTCCCACCCCCCTCCCGGGATTCATGAGTTTAGCCCTATTGTAGCATGTTAAAGATGACAATGAAACAGCTGAACAAATAAAAAAAAGTAAAATAAAATTTTATAATTAGTATTACATTTAGCTTTTCATTGAACTGAAAGAAAAAAAAGTGATATTGGACCCTGGAAACAAAAATTTTAACTTGAGTGGTTTGATAACCCTTCTATGTCTTGTGGGGAGGAAAAAAAAGTTTATTTTATTCCACTGTCCTCCCTTAAAAGCATCATTTGAGCAATGAATGAGTATTGTCTTTACACCAAGGGTTAGGGATTTTTCCTCTTTCTCTTACTTTTTTTGTTCAGAGAACTCCGAACATTTGGGACCACCTGGTATTCTGTATTTTCACTGGCCATATTGGAAGCAGTTCTAATTGTATTGTATTGAGTTGTGCTGGCAGTACTTTCCATGCCTGTCAATGTATCATAGTCCTTTGTTGCCCAGATAAATAAATATTTGATACACTTAAAAAAATAACAAAATCAGAATTTTGCTATAAATTTCCCCCTAAACACTACTTTTGCAGCATTCCTCAAATTTTGATAAGTTGTATTTGTATTTTCATTTAGTATTAAGTATTTTAAGTATTTTTAAATTTCTCTTGAGATTTCTTCTTTGATCTACGTAATACTTGGAAATGCACTGATTAATCACCAAGTATTTGAAGTGTTTGAGGATTTTCCAGGTAACTTCAATGCAGTCTATGGATTTTGGGATGATAATGATGAGACAATAGAGGCTTATCAAGTGTAAAAAATATATTGCTCTAGTGTGGTAGTGGGTAGAGAGGAAAGGGTACAAAATGAATATGGGAACACTCTCTGCCTCCACTAAATTTTGCTGTGAATCTAACCTTCACTAAAATAGAAAATGGATTATTTTAAATAGATAATTTTTTAAAATGATTCAAGGCAGAGCTGGAGTTGTAGAGCACTTGCCTAGCCCATGTGAGGCACTGGGCTAGCTCATGTGAGGCACTGGGTTGGATCCTCAGCACCACATAAAAATAAATAAATAAATAAAATAAAGGTATTGTGTCCAATTACAACTAAAAATATACATATATATTTAAAAAATGATTCAGGGCAAAAAAAGTAGGGGATTGTATTTAAACAAAATTGGTCATAACAAAGTTACCATAATCAGAGAAAAACATATCTCATTAAAATTTCATGAAATCTAACAAAACTCTTTGTGAGTACACAAATTAAAAAAAAAAAAAAACAACCCTTGTACTTATTACATGTATCAAAATTTTTCATGGAAAGAAAATAAACTTAATATAACTATGGCATGTGTATAGTTTTCATAAACTATGAACTATTATTAGAAAATCTAAATATTTAATAACATAATAGATATTTTAACTAAAATATATTACTCTCATGGAATGTAATAAAAATCCATAGTTAATTATTTTAGAATATGATAACCAGAGGAATAAAGATATATTCTTAACTCAATTACTTGTAGAAATCTCAACTTCACTAAGTTATAGTTTTCTTACCTAAACAAAATACTTTTTTTCTTAAAAAACAAGAAAAAAAGAGCAAAGTTATTTTAGAAAACATAAGTAGCACTTAAATTTGCTTCCAGAGTAAAAATGAGATAATACTTGTGAAAATTATTACCCTTTAAACATTAAATCACAGTACAATTCCCTACAAAGAAATACCTTCACAAAACCTCTTCCAAAGCCAAAAATTTGTTTTAAACATTTAATGTATTGAGACTTCTCTCTAGTCTTTGGCAGTGAAGGTATATATAACAACTCCTTTTTTATTTTCTTCTCCAAATATTTAGTTTACTTAGCACTAATTAGCAAATGAAAACTTAAAACTCAATAAAATATTGATTAAAGTAATAAATAAGACTAGATAGTTTTAAAAATTATGTTAAATCATTTACCCTCTCAGTATCACAATGAGCACCACTTCTGACTTCAAATGGGTCTTTTGCTGTATCACCAGTGTCCACAGATATACATACATTCTGTCATACAAAAGCATAAATCACGGAAGCATTGTCTCGATGGTAGTAAGGAGTGTGAAAAGGGTAAGTACAAATTAATCTTCCACATATAAGATTCCTGCAAACATAGTAAAATGATATGCTTATTAGGCATTAGCCATTAATTAGAAATTCTTTGGATTGGCTTTCTTTAATTAAAAAAATGGCTATGGCAATGTTTCTTTAATGGCTTAAAGAAAATTTAATGGGCTGGTTAAAAAGTATAAATCCATTGATTCAAAGTTATCTATCAGTGGTCCTAAAGGTAGTTAATTTACTGTTTCTAATGTGCCTTTACTGTCAAACAATCAATTCACTGCAACATTTTCTATCCCTGTGTAGAGGGATAGAGTAGTGAGTAATCCCAGTTACTCAGGAGGCTGAAGCAGGAGGATCACAAGTTTGAGACCATTCTCTGAAACTTAGCAAGGCCCTAAACAACTTAGTGAAACCCTGTCTTAAAGTAAAAAATAAATAGGGGCTGGGATGTGCCTCAAGTGGTAGCACGTTCGCCTGTCATGTGTACGCCTGGGTTCAATCATCAGCACCACATACAAAGATGTTGTGTCCGCCAAAAACTAAAAAATAAATATTAAAATTCTCTCTCTTTCTCTCTCTCTCTCTCTCTCTCTCTCTCTCACTCAAAATAAATGAATAAATAGCACTATGGATGTGGCTCAGTGGTGAAATGCCCCTGGGTTCAATCCCTAGGACCAAATAAATAATAATAATATTAATAATAATAATTAATAATAATACCAAGAATCAATAGTATGGCATCAAATTGAAAGGCATCTACAAAAAAAGGAAAGAACGGTATGAAGATAGCCTAATGAATGAGAAAAAAATATCTGCAGCTAATCTTCTGACAAAGTATTGATACCAAGAATATCAAAATTACTCAAAAATTTGGTACCAAATATATATACATATTTATACAAGTATATATGCATATATATGTGTGCATTATATATAAATTTAACAAGTGTTCAAATTAACTAAATAAATAGAAAATTTTTCAATAAATGGACAAATGAACTAAACAAACGTTTCTTAAAAGTGCAAGTTAAGGTCCTTGTCCTCTGAAACCCTCTTTGGCTGGGAATCTGCGTTTTTCTCATCTCTTCCCATTTGATCATGGTAGGAACTAAAGCAGACAGTGTCCCAGGCACCTACAGAAAAGTGGTGGCTTCTTCAGCCCCCCAAAAAGTCCTTGGTTCCTCCACCTCTGCTACTAATTCTACATGGCTTTCATCAAGGTAAGCTGAAAGTAAGTATGCAGGAGGAAATCCAGTTTCTGTACGTCCAACTTCCAAGTGGCAAAAAGGAATTGGAGAATTCTTCAGATTGTCCCCTAAAGATTCTGAAAAAGAGAATCTGATTCTTGAAGAGGCAGGAAGAAGTGGATTAGGAAGAGCAAAGAGAAAAGTATGTCCTTTGCAACCTGACCACACAGATGATGAAAAGAATAGAACTTGGGGATTCCAACATGGCGGCTGGCGCGGAGAGAT